GAAATACCTCTATGGAATGTCAGAACCGACAAACCTACCCAAGAGGACAATCATATCTGAGTGAGCTTAAACTCAAAATGGATTTGTGTGCTGAGATTAAAATGAAAAAGAGAGGGGTAGTTGTTGTGAGCTAAAAGAATTGATGAGAGTTGTGTCAGGATTAAAAGAACATAAGAATCATGTTCCAAACTTCAAATTACCGGGCATACCACATAATCTATTAGTTTTCGTTTCTTTGGAGACTAATATTAAAAAAGGCAAAGCCCACACCAATTCTTGTCACAACCCCACTAGCTACTCATTTATCTCTTAAAAGATAAGTGTTTCAATAACACTTGGGGCACGCAGCTCACAAACTATCAGATTCTCATTTGGAGATTCTTAATATTGAAAGAGAAGGATATATGCCCCCCCCCCCCCCATTCAAGTCTTTTTGATCACTAATTGAATTTGATAAATTTGTGTAGTCCACACTGTTTATCTTTTTGAGACTAAACAGAAGCATATGTTGCTTTATCTTTCTACACTACACAGATTTTGCAAATTATATGTTATTTTGCTGAAATATTCATAGATATATTTTTCATAAGATATCGATGATTGAATGGAAGACCTGGTGAGATGAACTTCTAAAAGTCTCATATATGAAGTACATCCGTTGTACTGAGTATATCTGTTATACTCACAGGCTAATCTTTTTATAAGATTGAAAACAATTTCATAAGTTAAAATTGGTTGTTATTTTCCCATCCTCTAAATCTGAAAAGATTATACAAGTGGATTTGAAAAGATATGCTTACATTTTTTTTATGAATTGACGGCTTTCACTGAAAATTTCATTCATTCTGATGTATGCTGCTAATGATTCTCATTTTATCATAAAGGGAAGTATGAAATAATGAATGAAATAATCAATTCCGAACATTATAAGGGGAGTATGTTATAAAGATCAAAAGGGAGTAACATCAAAGTCGGCAAAAGACTCAAAGGAGTGTGACTAGAGATTATTTATGAAGATTATTCTTGTGCTACCTTGTCTGAGAGTTTTTGAATGTGAAGATCATCCTTACAAAAGTACACCGAAGAGAAACTTTATGAATTTTTGTCTGAAGAAGTTCGTTTTTGGATAGAATGTTAGAATTTGTTTGTCTAAAGATTCTTTGAAGTTCATATCTTGAAGATCAATTTTGAAGATCGTTGCTGATATTGTTCTACATTGTCAAAAGAGAAGATCATCGCTGTTTTACATTCGAGGGGAGAATGTTAGAAGATTTTCTCAACAAAAGATTGTCTGATGATTTCAAAGTGAAGATTTTGAAGAAGTCATAAAGAGCTTAAAGAGACAAAGTTCAAACAAGATTCAAAGCGCGTAAATTCTTTCAAGCCTGAATACAAAGGGGGAGAATGTTAGGACTAAATTTCAGTGTTAAAATTGTATTCGTCTTGAAAGTTACTATTGTCTATAATTAAATAGACATCGTGTTTGACTTTGTATTGTAATTTGACTTTGACTTAGAAGGGTTCAAGTTTGACCCTATATAATTCTTTTGTCCTTTGTAATTTTAGTGTAGGAGATTTCACTTGTAACAATATGTAAAGTTTGAGAGATTTATAAAGCATTGACTTGTTGACTTTCTCTCTCTCATCTCCTCTCATGTTTTTAATTTTCATATCTATTAATCTGCCATGGATTCATTAAAGTTTACTTGAAGATTGATCATAAAAAAAACTTTTACTTATTTAATGCATATAAGTAGTTTTGTATTGTTTCATTGAATGGATGTACAAATTTTAATTTTGGGCAAAAAAATTAGAGAAAATAAAATGAGTCACTTAAACGTACTTATTAAATGATACATGTAGTTTAATATTCAAAATTGTTACATATATAAAATTAAGAGGCAAACAAAGTTACTATTTTACCATTTATATTTATTTTTTCAAAAAAATAGTCGTCCATAAATCATGTAATAGTAATCGAATATATATAAAATTGAAGAAGGGTCTTTTGTTTTGTATGAGTGGCTGAAACTATCTGTAGACGAATAATATACGTCATACAAAATTTATGCAGTTTGGCCTACACATTTTCAACCACAACATATTCAACTCATTAAAGTATATGACTCAATCAGACCATCGACATACCTTTAAGGTAGTATTTGGTACGCAGACCGGAAGAGACATGACATGATAGGACATGACAAAACAAGACGGGACGGGGCATGACGGGACGAGATAAGACTACTTGTCCGTCTTATGTTTGGTACGACTAACACAGGACTAGACAAAACTATTAAAATGACCATATTACCCCTAAATGTTGTTCAATGTTATTTTATATCATATAATGATTGTAAAATGACAACAAATCAACCAAAAAATATTTTAATTACATAGTTTTTGTAATCAAGTTTAACACAAATGACATGAATTAGCTTTTCTATTGGAATGAAATAACAAGGATAATATAGTTATTTTTAATTCAGTCCCATGTTGTTTTCAATCTTTTTTGGTGGAACAAAAAATATCAATATTTGTCCCATAAAAATTAAAAATAGTCTCATATTGTCCTATGTTTTTTTTGTTTATGGCAATGCCAAACATGAAACTATTTTTTTTATCTCATCCCGTCCCGTCCCACCCTAAACGTTATGTAAAAAGCTTATTATATTCTAAGAATTAATGAATAAAATAGTAACTAATACTCAAAATGTAATTATTAATAATTTATAATTTTTTTTAATTTAAACATAATAATTCAAAAGTTTTAACTTACATGAGTTTTTTTTTTTTTTTTTCTATTTAAAAATAAAATGAGAATATTTTTTTTTGAAGAAAAAGATTGAGAATGTTAAATGCTAAGTTTTGTGTTGATAAGATTCCGTAGATGCTCTTGTACAAATACTGTTGCACTGTTGTACCACCTATCCATCATCCATGTAAAGTTAAGAATCAACTGAAAATCGAATTTTCCTTTCCATCATTCAATAAATTCAAAATACAAGGTTTTAATTAGGAAAATTAATTCAAATAAATATTTTAACCATATGATTTTACCCATTTCTCTCCTAAAATTATGAAAATAATTATAGGTCTACAATTGAGAGGTCCGTAAATTATAGAGGGATCAAAGCGTAAGAAAAAAATGAAGTTTCTGAAACAGGTCCGCAATTATAGAGACCAAATATGTAAATTTGGAAAAACAAATCCGAAATTGCAGACATATTTTTGAGACCTATTAACTAATTTACATATTTGGTTTCTGTAATTGCATATCTAGTTTAGAAACTTCATTTTGTTACACTTTTACATCTCCTATAAATTACGAACCATGGCTAAGAAATAACCTCTCCGATGAAAACAATTATTTTAATTAATTTTTTATTGGATTGTAATGAAAATATTTAAGTATTGTTTTAATAGTAGTATAAAGAACTCGTGAAATTCTATGAATAGAGATGTAATAAATGTTAATAAGTAGTTACATATAAAAAAATAAAAAATTATGATTGATTGAAACAAAATTTATATAATTTGTACAAATTTACAAAGTAAACTCTCAAAGTAAACTCTCTCTCTCTCTCTATATCTTTGAAATTGTGTATATATATATATATATACTATCTTATAAAACAAATTTAACAAAAGTCTTAAAATATTAAATGATCATAAATTCATAATACCCTTTATATCACTTTTTCACTTTTTCACTCTCTCCTCTCCTCACATACACTCACCCTCTCACAACCCGATTTTTTTTAAATTGTAATTTTTTATTTACACTTTATACCCCTATAATTAGTTAATTAATTTACTTTATGTCATTTACTTTTAAATGTTTCATTTTAAACATTTATCAAATTAATATACACAATCGTATATCAATTAAAACATGTTTAAAAAATATATTTTTATTTTAACAAGTTACACTATTATAATCGTCTCATTAATACCTTCGAAATGAGTCCAATATTGAATAGTTTTTGACTTAATTATATTATTATATATACTGTGAAAAATATTTTTAATATTTACGATTTATACTTATACAGTTATTTATATATATATATATATATACTATATATTTTGGGGTTAGGCTGTCCAAATTGCACTGTATAATTTGTTCTGAATTAATATGTTTTTGGGTTTTTTTTGAAATATATACATGTATTAATTCAACCTTAATCTGAGTTTCTGGACAAAAAAGAAGGTAAATAGTTGAAATTTCATTATAAAACCCATCTTTTTTGGTCTTTTCATGGCTTATGATCTGTCAAATTTGTAGTTTTCTTTATTGGTTTTGAGTGTTTATCTTAAAACTCAAGTTTCTTGGTTCTTTGCTCTTGGTGTAAATCGAACACATTTATGGAGTCGTTTAAATATGTTGAATTTTAAATATATTGGATTTTAAATTGTCATACAATTTTTTTCATCGATAGTCTGTAATTGGAACCATAACTCTTATTTATTCAAATTGTATTAATATGTAAAGACCAAGTGTAACATATATTATCGTCAAATCTTATCTTATAAAACCAGTGGAACTTCAAAATCGTTAAAATTCATGGTTCCCACCGCATTATGCGGATACACAACTAGTTTATATACATATATGGGATGAAGCATTAGAATAAGATTTGATTTATAAAAAGTGCAAGTAAAGAGGGGGAGGTGGAAAAGGCGGAGGAGCTCGAGAGAGGGGGGTGTAGGAATCGAGGGTTCCTAGTAAACCTCGCTTGTTGATACCTAAAATTACAATTACAATTCCAACTACAACTACGATTACAAACAATGCGAGCTAAGTCAAACGCTGGCAGACACCAACAACAGCAACAGTCTTTATGAAATCCCAAATGCATATTACCAAAATCATCACATCCCTCCAACCCACCACTTGCCAACTATAACCAACATTACCATCGCCCCCATCTCAACCACTCCCCTCCTCCATCTTCAAACTCCCATTCCTTCATTTAATCCTTCCACCGCCACCACCACCACCACCACCACCACCATCTTCAGCCTTAGCCTGTTGCAGGGATATGCTACTAACCCAGTTACAGAAACAAGAAAGAAGACTGTAGTTAAGCAAAGTGGGGTAATGGGGGTTGGGTGGGGTGGGATGGCTAAACAGGGAACATGGCACGCAGAATCCCAATGCTCATCCTGTTGGCCGTTATCTTCTTGGACCTTTTTCTCGGCTTCACATTCATAACCTTCTTCTACCTCTCGTCTTCCCACCAACTATTCAACCAAGTAATAGTATAGTATAGTATAGTATAGTAGCAGGTGAGAGTCATTCATTACCCTCCCTTCCCACATATGCTTTTTCCTACAATTAACACACACTAAGCTTTGCTTGCTTTCCTACCGGATTTTTTAAAAATGGTGAGAAAGAGGGCAGCATCCGATATGGAACTTCAGACAAGTGCAGCTGATCATCATTACCACCACCGTTTATTACGTCGGCTACCACCACCAGCGTCCTCAACGAATCCTGCCCCCATTGACATTCATCATCTTCAAGAGACGCCTGATAATGACAATCATCACCTTCTTTCGGGTGTACCTGCAACTCCGGCAGCCCTTAATGTCAACACCAATGACCTCCCCTCCAACTACTCCACTATGACGCTACCATCATCATCATCTTCCACAAATACATCTCATGTCATCATGTCGTCATTATCAACGACTAATTACATGATGGATTCACACTCTCCTCCTCCTCCTCTATGTGTCTTTTCGGGTCTTCCTTTGTTTCCTCCTACGGACCATAGAAATTTCAATCATCATTTGTCAAATACTACTACTGCTACCGGAGCTTTACCCAATCACCAACTTGTTACTAATAACACCGCCGGCGCCGGGATGCCCTTCTTGACCAGTGAAGACACCGTCTCCGCCACCGCATGGATCGATAGCATCATAAAAGACCTGATTCACAGTTCCACGGAGGTATCCATACCCAATCTCATTCAAAACGTAAGAGAGATCATCCACCCTTGCAACCCTAACCTAGCCACCCTTCTCGAATATAGGCTTCGCTCTTTGACAGATCCTCCTCCAAATCTAGTAGTAGATCAGCAATCCGGTCATGATAATAATAATAATAATAGTAATAGCAATAATAATTTTAACAACAGATTGTTGATGAGAGGAAAAGATCAAGCGCAAGCGTCGTCATCCATGCCCCCACGCAACAATCCATCTACTATTTCAGGACTCGAAGGTATGTTCCTTCCAGATTCACAGCAACACTTGAATAATCATGGCCACCTGGAATGGGGTGGAGTCGTCACTAATACCAGAAAGGACGACCAGTTCCTCAATGACGATTACAACCCTAGTACTGGAGCTCCTCCTGCTGCACTTATTTCTTCATCCAACAACCAGGAACAGCTGCAGGAGTCTCCACCATCACAACCACCATCAGCAACCGACCACAACACAGCAGCAGCATCAGCACAAGCAGCAGCAATGTTGTTAAGAGAGAAGAAGAGAGAAGAGATACGGCAGCAGAAAAGAGACGAACAAGGCCTACATCTGCTTGCTTTGCTCCTGCAATGTGCGGAGGCAGTTTCAGCTGACAACTTTGAGGAGGCCAACAAGATGCTACTAGAGATCTCCGAACTCTCAACTCCATATGGGACTTCTGCTCAGCGGGTTGCGGCCTATTTCTCAGAGGCCATGTCCGCACGGCTGATGAGCTCTTGTCTTGGGATATACACCACCCTTCCTCCCAATGCAGCGGTTCCGCAAGGGCTGAAGAAGATGACGTCAGCCTTCCAAGTGTTCAACGGCATCAGCCCTTTCGTTAAATTCTCACATTTCACAGCCAATCAAGCGATACAGGAGGCATTCGAGAGGGAGGATAGGGTGCATATCATCGACCTGGACATCATGCAAGGCCTGCAATGGCCTGGGCTTTTTCACATATTGGCATCCAGACCAGGCGGTCCGCCTTTTGTACGACTCACCGGATTGGGCAACTCGTTGGATACCTTGGAGGCCACCGGAAAACGGTTGTCTGATTTTGCAGATAAACTGGGACTCCCGTTTGAGTTCTCGGCTGTGGCTGATAAGGTCGGGAATTTGAATCCGGAGAGATTGAAGGTTAGCAAAAGAGAAGCTGTTGCTGTCCACTGGTTGCAGCATTCTTTGTACGATGTCACCGGCTCCGACACCAATACTTTATGGTTCCTGAAGAGGTATATATATATATATGTTCACTTGATCGTTTTATTACCAACAAAAAGCAAAGAAAGGCTTTAAGTGAAATTATGTGGAGAAAGTTGATTGATTTATTAGTCTTTATTAGATAGATGTATATGATATGATGTTTGTGTTTGTGCAGATTGGGTCCGAAAGTGGTGACAGTGGTGGAGCAGGACCTGAGCCATGCAGGATCATTCTTGGGAAGGTTTGTGGAAGCGATTCACTATTACTCGGCATTGTTTGATTCATTGGGATCGAGTTACGGGGAAGAGAGCGAAGAGAGGCATGTGGTGGAGCAACAGCTGCTATCGAAGGAGATAAGGAATGTGTTGGCGATCGGAGGGCCATCTCGGAGTGGGGAGATGAAGTTCAACAACTGGAGGGAGAAGCTGGAACAATGTGGGTTCAAGGGCATATCTTTGGCTGGAAATGCAGCTGCCCAAGCAACCCTTCTTCTTGGGATGTTCCCTTCCAATGGTTACACATTGGTGGAGGATAAGGGTACCCTGAAGCTTGGATGGAAAGACCTTTGTTTGCTCACTGCTTCTGCCTGGAGACCTTAATTACCAATTGATTCATTATATATGAACCATTTGGCAAACAAGTTTTGAAGGATATGGTTTTTTGTCAACAATGAATGGACCAAGTATGATGTTCATAAATTATATCTCAAAGTATTGTTTATTTTTGGTTAATTTAATTCCTCCTACAATAACATGTCATTGATCTCTTAGCTACCTGCTGCCTGCTGCTATGTACATCTATTCATACAATACATGCATGTTTAGTGGTGCCTTCTACAAAGCTCATGGAATGGCTTAGTAAGTTAACTGATGATATCAACATAGATCAAGGAGAAGTTGGGTTTGTAGAATGAGATTTGGTGGAATTGGAATGAAATTTGACCGTGCATTTGATTTGATGGAATTGTTAAAAGGGAATTGAAATCTTCGGCCAACACTAAAAAGGCGACTCCTCCCGGTAGAAGTGGTAGAATTATTTCCAAGTATTTCAGCTAGAACCGGAACGATTTGGGATATTTGAACCAAACAAATGAATTTAGAATTTGGTAAAAGTAATTGACGATTCGAGTTTCATTGTAATCCTTTGAAGTTGAACTCAATGAACCAAACAAACAAAAATGAAAACAGCGAGTACCCACTCTACCAAAGAAATACCATAATATACCTTTTAATAAAAAAAATGACGAGTTCATCAAAGAAGTAACATTAAGTTATGTGATATGAGTTCGAACTCACGTAGGTCAGACGAGAATTTAAAGCGACCTAGAATTAATTAACAGAAGATTGGTTTGATACATGTAATTCGTAGTTGTTATAATTGTATAGTATTTATAAATCATAGTGGAGAGAACATTGAAATCAAGTATCAACTTTAAAAAGACTAACAAGACCCTTAATTAATCTTGCATAACATGTTATTTATTTAATATCTAACTAGTGCTTGGCACCGTGTTTTGCACAGTGATCATAACACATGCCAAGTAATATACAAAAAATTATGAACTACATCAAGATTTCTATACTTCAAAATTGAAAATACTAAATTTTCATAGTGCATTTGTAACTCTTGCAATATTTCAAGGCATCTCTTCTCTTTTAATATACTTAACTGTTTTTCAGTAATTTCTTTTCTCATTAATATGGATTAAGATTCAAGTCAAATTTAATCATAATTCATGATTTGAAAATATTAAATTCTAATTTGTCATATCAATATCTTATAGCATTATATATTAATTTAACTTTTAATATAGATTTTTTTTTGTAAAAAGAGGATTAACCAAAAATCCTATGTTAGGAGAGTCAGCCAAATAAGTTAAGCACCATGAGTTTAAAGAATTATTCAAGGGAGTCAGGTTTATGAATTGCCATAGAGACATCTCAATCTTTCATTATATATGTATCATTCAGTGTCAATCTTTTATCTACCTATTAATATGGAATAGACAAAACTCAATCACAATTCAAGATTAAAGAATACTCAATCGTAGGGTGTCACATTGATGGTTGTGATTCTTACTTTTAAGTTTTAAATATAGAAAGAATAAAGATTATATATATAATTAATTTTTAATATTGATTAAACCTTCTTGCAAAAAGAGAGTTGGGAAAAATGAACCAATCCCATGTGTGTTCGGAGGGTCGGCCAAAATGCTCTAACCACGGGTGTTAAGAGAATCAACCAAGAGGAACCAATCTCATGAGTTGTCACAAAGGCATCTCGACCTCATTTTACATATCCAACATTTTTGTCAATCTTTCAACTCTCAATCAGTGTGGGATATATAAAACTCAATCATAATTCAAGATTGAAGAATAGTCAATTATTAGGGTGCCGCATTAACGATTCCACTTCTTACTTTCAAAAACATATTAAAATTATCTTTTCAATTAATATTTAGTATAGATTAATTTTTTTCATAATAAAAGGGTTGGCCAAAATGAGTCAACCGCATATGTTTAGAAGTTCAGTCAAAATAATCCAACCACGTGAGTTTAAACAATTGCTCCAAATATTTAAAGATAAATATGGCTTATATAGCCAAATGAATCTTATATTTTCCGAATGGAACATATATTTCTCTTATATACTCATTTTCCTCATTGACGTATCAATTTCTAATCAATGTGGATACCAAAAAACTTAACCACAATACAACAAATTTAAAATATTTGGTTTTAATGATGCCATCCTATTATTTTATTACTTTTTTTGTATTGATATATTGATTTTTTTATATAGGTATTTTTTTTTTTGCAAATAGAGGGTTCGTCAAAATGAACAAACCCCATGAGTTTAGAGGGTTAGCCAACATGAACCAGTGATATGAGTTTATAGGATTAGCCAAAGAACCAACCCCATGAGTTAAAATAAAGAACATCAATCTCCTCTTATATACCTACCATCAGTTGTCGATCTTTCATCTCTCTATCAATGTGGGATACACAAATTCAACCTCAATGCAAGAAATATATAATACTCAATCCTTAAGGTGACACATCATTTCTTGTGAATCTTACTTATATAGAGAGGGAGCCCTATATATAAAGATTTTTTTTATAAATATGATTTTTTTGCAAACAAATGATTGACCAAAACGAACCAACCCCATGAGTTTGGAGGGTTAGCTAACATGAGCTAACGATATGAGTTTATAGGATTATCCAAGATAATCAAACCCCATGAGTTAAAACAAAGACACATCAACCTCATCTCATATATCTACCGTCTATTGTCAATATTTCATCTCTCCATCAATGTGGAATACACAAAACTCAATTTCTATGCAAAAAATATAGAATACTCAATTCTTAGGGTGTCATATCATTTCTTATGGATCTTACTCTTATATATAAAGAAGATTGATACATATACATACACACACCCACCCATACACACACACACACACACACACACACATATATATATATATATATATATATATATGCATATATTGATAATTGTAAACATAATTTATTTTTATATAATAAGATTTGTTTTGCAAAAGAGAGTCATGCAAATAAGTTAATTTATGAGTTAAGCGTATTGGGTTGATGCAGTGAATTTCATTCTTTTTCCTATACACATCTCTTTATTCCAATCTTCAATCTTTCATCAAAGTGGTATATCACAAACTCAACTACAGTTCACCAACAATTCAATACTTAATTCTCATGATGCACCTAATTATCTCTTGGTTCTTCTTTTAATATATATATATATATATATATAATATTTGTTTTGAAAAAATAGGGTCATCCAAGTAAGATAACCTTATGACTCAAGGCTCATGAGTTGACACAATGTAAGATTTGTTTTAAAAAAATAGGATCATCCAAATAAGATAACCTTATGAGTCAAGCCTCATGAGTTGAAACAATGACTCTCATCATTCTTTCTTATACACATCTCCTTATTTCAATATTTCAATCTCTCACCAATGTGAGATACCTCAAACTCAACCACAATTCATCAACACATCAATATTCAATTCTCATGATGCCACCTGAATACTCTTGGTTCTTCTTTTAATATATATATATATATATATATATATATATAAAATAATATTTGTTTTGAAAAAATAAAGTCATCCAAGTAAGATAACTTTATGACTCAAGGCTCATGAGTTGATACAATGTAAGATTTGTTAAAAAAAATAGGATCATCCAAATAAGATAACCTTATGAGTCAAGCCTCATGAGTTGAAACAATGACTCTCATCATTCTTTCTTATACACATCTCCTTATTTCAATATTTCAATCTCTCACCAATGTGGGATATCTCAAACTCAACCACAATTCATCAACACCTCAATATTCAATTCTCATGATGCCACCTGAATACTCTTGGTTATTCTTTTAATAGATATATAGATTTAGGGGTTGTTTATCTAAATGCTTACCCGGTAAACACTTAATGTTAGGAGTCAACACTATAATTTATTTTATTGAGTAAAATTGTAGTACATTAAAATGGTAGCATATGTAATAATTTACCAGGGTAAGGGTCGTCATCGTCACTTACCGAGTAAGGCTCTCCATCTTTTTCATTGCTTTACCGGGTAAGGTTTTTAACCCTTGCCATGTTCATCAGATAAAAAAAATTACTCGGTAAGCACTTACTAGGTAAGCGTTTAGTAAATGACCCCTTAATCTATTTATTTAGTTTTTAAATTGCGAGATTGAATAACGAAATCAGGACTTGAGTGAGAAACATTATTCTTTACAGGGACTATCGCTACAAATAATTATATTTTAAGGTATAAAATTGGATATTATCGGTTTGTGGATGGACCATTTTTGTAATTCAACTCTTGTAATTCATTTTTGAACCTTCGTTTACCTCAAAACACCGCCTCCCTCCCCCGTTCCAACAATCCTTTTGGTATCAGCACTCAGACAGCAGCGATTGTCGCTGAAACACTTTGTTCTGGAAGAGATAATATTCAGGCTCCTTCAAATTAAGTAAGTTCAGACATCTGCTGTTGATGTTTCAAGTTTGGATTCTTGGTATTCAATTCGTTGCCAACGTTCTTCCTGTAAATTCTTCAACCTTTTTATCAATTTCAAAATGGTTATGTATAGTGTTTCTCTTCTTTCTCTTTGATATGGAAGTAGTAGTGTAATAGGATTCTCACTTTATGCCCGCTTTACGCTATATGAATTCGAGAATATCTTGTATGTCATCCTTCTATTTAATTTGCAATATGTTTAGATGCAATTTCTGTTGAATTTTCTTATCTGAAAGTGAAATGTCCATAAAGAAACTATCTGTTGGGCAATCTATAAGCTCACTTGATTTGAAATAGGGGAAGTGGAATGTTTTCATTTCCCACAAGAATTTCTCTTAGTCGCATCATTAATTCATTGTTATGTTGCTCTTCATTAGATGACGACTTCATAGAAGATGATGACCAGTTATAGACAAATAACAGCAAAAGGAACACAACAATGGCATTGAAGAATAAAGTGCAAAGTATATTAATTCCCTGGTGGAGAAAGAATACCTTATTGTCATCTACTTCAAGGACTCTAAATACCTTTGCAACCGGTTCTGATAACCGAATCATCAAGTCTCCATCTCTTGTTTCTCTAGATCTCCCTGATGAATGGACTTCTAGCTCCACCAATTGTAATGCTCCGTCCACCAACAAGCTTGGTAAACACATAGCTTGATGAACTTTTCAATCTTGCTTTTATCCGTTCTATTCAAATATAGCTTGAAGTTATCTGATTTAACTATGTGATAACCACACTATTAGAGTTTGCTATGACCTGTTATTTATCATCTTTTCTGATATGTGGAAAGAAAAATGTTTGACATTATGTTGTTTCCCCACTTTGATTGTTTGTGTATTGTTAGATCTTTGTTAAGATCATTGTCTGTTTAATTCAATTATATTTAGACATGGTACTACAATTTTTTTTATTTTTATTAATAAATAATAGCTTTTGTAATTGCATTTAATATATTGGTTGTTTATGAAAATCAAAGAAAATGAAAAAAAGAACTAACAGGTCAACCTGACCCATGACCCATTTGGCTGTTTTTTTGAAATTGCCCATTTTGACCCCAACCTGTTTTGACTGATACACCGGTACCAATCTGACCCAAACTACCGACTTCAACTTCTTTAATTAGTGCTAAGTGGTCATCCCCATAGTCACACTCACGAACTCAATACTAGCATCATCACAAGTGATTGTTGGTTCTTTCTCATTCCCTTAATTTGACATCCAATCTCTATTAAGTTATCATTTTCTGAAGTTTTCATCTAATATAAAGTTAACCGCAGACTAAAAATAACCTGAACCATTGCAGTAGAGTGTGAACAGTTGATGATCATCACCAAAAATGCAGTATACACCATAGTAAAATTGGTCAATTTGCACAAGTTAAAATAGGTTCTACTTGAAGAAAAAATCCTCCTTTTGGTATTATTAGATATAAACATATAAAGAAAGAAGTACATCTGACGAGATCCCTACTTCGGCCTTTGGTGTTCCATACTCGCAGTTGCAAATAGGTATGGGAACGGAGTGGGTGCTTCATGCTTGCAGTTGTAAACACTTGGCCCTCAACTAAGGTAGACGCAACTAGGACAGACACACGCTTGTGAAATCAATTCACCTTGATTTCTTGAATTTTTTTTCCTTATTAGTGATTAATTAATATTTACATATATATGCACACATATATAGTCGGGTTTAAACGAGAACGCTGACCAAATAAGAGAACACGAGAATGGCTAGATCACATGTGATTTTACACTAAAGTCACGTGAAAATCACATGTGATTAGGCATGACCTACGTCACGGGTCAAGTCGCCTGTGCACTCATGCGTTGACTATATTATCTAATCGCATGTGATTTTAGTACAAAATCACATGTGGTTTAGCTGTTCTCGTGTTCCTTATTGTGACCCTGTTCTCGTTGGATCCTCCCTCTCTATATATACACACATAGAGGCTAGTGCGGGGTGACAATTACCTTCCCCGTTCTGGGACCTGGCTATGCCGGTAATGCTCGGCCCCAATTGGGTGGGTGAATCGGGTACCCGTCTAGGTTGGGCAAATCACCATTTTCTAGCTTGGCCCAAGTCCGATTACTGTAATAACAATAAATCAATTTTCAATATAGTTGCCTTGTTTTTGTTTTGGTAAATTTTTCTGGTCAATTCGTTTGGTGCTTCCGTTCTTACCAAGCTGAATCGTTTGTAGGAGCATTAGTCATGATTAGAAGATCCATTTTCATTTGAAATGACTGGCTTTGGCCATAGAGTGATATTTGCTTAATCCTCCTCTAGTTGCTTGATCAAGACACACAACTCTTCTTTGTATTGTGTGTATCAATTTGAGAAGGCCTGTTAGGAGATGAACATTGTCTCAAAGGTTCCCACCTCCCATAGAGTTGGTTGATCGTGCCATTGAAGGCATTGCCAAGAGCCAAGTCCTGGGTTCCAAAGCCATCTACAAGTTCAATGCGTTGCATTAAGCTAATTGCCGGTTACCTCCACCTTCCAAGCCCATTGTCATGTCCTTCAGGTGTCCTCTACAATGAGTCTCTCATTGTACCATCTCTTGATTCTCCACTGTGACAAAGGGAGGTCGACTTGAGTGTGATTAACTTTTTCTTGTCCTTCTTGCTAGCCATGTTCTTTTCTTGGTGACTTGACGTGCTTTGACACTTGTCATGGGTTATTGATTCTTTAATTATCCATGTGGCTGTAAGTTTGTTAGGTTAATTTGCAAGTTTACATGCGACGCTTGATACTAGTACTAAATCAGAGTAACTCTTAACCAGAACTTAGGAACTTTAGAAGAGAGTGATTTGGGAAAATGAAATTTATGACTTATGAGACCTTACAACATTTCTTGGGTCAATGCCTTGCCAATCGAAGGTCACCTTCTTTATCTAGGCCTCCACCTCCATGGATGGCCAAAATAAATTTACATCGACGACCTAGATTGCATGTCTAGATTTCTCTTCCAAAATATCTTAGAAATTTACAACTCACTTTCTACGCTCTCTTGATAGGCTAGAATTATGGAGAGGCTTCTAGAAGCATCCACCATTTGAGGAACCTTGATCCTTGTAGAAAATTCCAGAATCCTGAGCCTTCTTTCTTGGGCTTCGCCACACTAGTTTGACTTGGTAGCTCTAGCGCTCACACTTACTAAGGAGCAAGTGAAGAAGAAAACAACTACACAAGTATGTTACAATGAAATATCTCTCTTGTCGCATTTAGTATCTAGTGAAAGTATTAAGTATCTACACTTTGAATGAGTTCACTAGAGAATTCTAGAGTACATGAAGCAAGAGAGGGATGGTGCCAATTACGGAAACCATGCAAAAAAGATTTTTCTTTCACAAGCCAGGGGTTTTTTATGGAATTAGCCACTCTACCCCTTGGGATAGAGGAAAAGTCTGCATAAATTTTACCCTCCCCAGCCCCTATTATGTATGGGATTCACTGGGTTTGTTTGGTTTGGTTTATGTAAGAGCCTACCAAGCACAAGTTACATTGTTAGCTCAGTTTGAGCCAATGATGAGTGCAAAGTTGGATGGGTTAGGTAATGAGGTTGAAGAACATGACTTGGAATTGGCACCACTAATGTTTATAAATTATGAGTATCCTTGTATCCCGATCAGTTTGTTGTATTGTGAAGCATTGCACTGTTATTCTTAAATTTTGTATGATTTCCACAAGACAACTCTTCTCCACAGGTGTTATCTTACTGGCCTGACCACCCTACCACTTCCTTGGCACAAAAATTAAGGAATAAATTTGTACTTGAAGCAGCCTACTTTGACTGATATTATTGTAACACACACACGCAGCTAGTGAAGAGACTGGTAGAGTAATTGATGGAAAACAAATTGCGGAGGAAATTATATCAGGGGTGGCTTGTGAAGTAGAAAGAATGAAGAAAACAATTGGTGAGGTTCCTGGAGTGGCTGTCATTTTAGTAGGCGAGAGGAGGGATTCCCAAACATATGTCCGTAACAAGATAAAAGCATGTGAGGAAGCTGGAATCAAGTTTTCATTGACTGAATTTTCAGAAAAGTGTAGTGAAGATGAAGTTTGTGATGCTATAATGGGTTTTAACATGGATCCATCTTTTCATGGTATTCTCGTACAGCTTCCTCTTCCTCAGGTAATGTCTTTTACTAAATGACAAATGGATTAGAAGGATTTATTTGTAAACTGAGACGACAAGTATTGTATGGATGAATCAGCGTCTAAATGAAGAGAAGGTTTTGGATGTAATGAGACTGGAAAAGGACGTGGATGGTTTTCATCCAATGAACATGGGAAACTTAGCTATGAGGGGAAGGGAGCCATTATTCATCCCCTGTACTCCAAAGGGTTGTGTTGAGTTACTGATCAGATCCGGTGTGGAGATAATGGGGAAGAAAGCTGTCGTCATCGGGAGGAGCAACATTGTTGGTTTACCTGCATCCTTGCTGCTACAGGTGAGTGATTCTTTCTTTCTCTCTTTCTTTCATGCTATATCAGATGCTACTGAATTAGTATGGTTGTATTTGTGGGGGACAGAGGCACCATGCAACTGTTACGGTCGTTGATGCATTAACGTCAAACCCTGAAGAAATCACACGTGAAGCTGACATTTTGGTGAGTGCGGTAGGAGTCCCTAATTTGGTCCGTGGAAGTTGGCTGAAGCCTGGTGCTGTTGTTGTTGATGTTGGAACTTATCCAGTTGAGGTACTCACCTGACCCTTTATGGTTCAATTATATAATTAGGTGGTCAATGTGTGTGTGAATTTGAATTCGAAAAAAAAGGAGATGGTGAATGTGAAGTGGAAAGAAATTTGAAATTGATGCGCAGGACGATAGTTGTGAACAAGGTTATCGGCTGATAGGAGATGTATGCTATGAAGAAGCATCAAGGGTAGCATCTTGGTTGACCCCTGTGCCAGGAGGAGTAGGGCCTATGACAGTTGCCATGCTGCTTTACAACACGCTTGAATCGGCTAGGCGTATATACAAATTTGTTTGACTTGCAAAAAGGTTATGCTATATGTTGATTGATTATTGGAAATGCATATTGAATCCTATTTAGTTATGCAGATTGTCTGTTTTTACATTCTTTCTCTGGAAATTTGGCCATTGTTGCTTCTGAATAACAGACCTCTGCTGTATCTAAATATGGCATTCATTACTGTTTGTTTTACATAACGAATGAAACTTCATTTTACCATTATTACACCAAAATCTTGTAAAATTAAAATTGAGTTCCCATTCATTGTTAGTCGTATTTTAGTTGTTTGATTAATCAAGAAAAAGAAAAAAATATAAAACAATAAACAAACAAATACCTTTGTACATGATATCCAGTGTACATGTGCTGATCATGTTCATGTTTCATGGCTCAAACAAAACCAAACAAGTTTAGTATATTTCAGCCATAGGTGGGTCTGAATGGCTACAATACGAATCAGAAAATCTTTAGTCAAATAAATATCAAGGGCTTTAACATAATTCAATCCATCTGTTGGTTAAGTTAAAAGATGATGTTTAATTCTTTTCCAGATGTAAGATACAACTTGTACATGTTAATTGAATTACTGCAAGATACATACATACATACATACATACATACATACATACATACATACATACATACATACATACATACATACATACATACATACATACATACATAC